GTGTAAGTTATAAAAGAAGGAGCATGTCTGCCTCAAGATTTACAGAAATAATTTTTTTAATCAGAAGATACAGTGTTAATTTGGTTGAAGAGAATCAATATTTCAAGACCCCAAAGAGACTGTGACACTGACCCAGTTACTGACATACTTCCAAAAATTAACAGACATATCTGCTTCTATTTCTTGTTATAATCTCTTTATTCTCACTTTCTGAGATCACAATCTCCAGGATTAAAAGAGAAAAATAGAAACCTTTATGACCAACAATGTCTGTTGGTAGATTCAGGAAATTATAATCAACTGAGTTTCAAGCAGTTTGCATTTGACCTACTCAGACACCATCTTATGTGTTGATTAAATTCCTTAGCCACCTGTGGTCAAGTGAGAAATACAATTACATTTCCTTCTATCTATTGCAGATGACAATATATCTAGAACTGACTTTTCCTATCCACCTATATCATATTTTTTATCAGTTCCTTTATTTTGCTATGATAAACATTATGGCCAGAAGAACCTATAGAAGAAACAATTTATTTGGCTTACAGTTCCAGGGCAATAGTCTATAATGGCAGGGGACACATGGCAGTATGTAGCCTGAGCAGAACCTGGCTGACCACATCTTTTGTCTAAAACAGGAAACAGAGAAAGCAAACTAGACATGGGGTGAGGCTATAAACACTCAAAAGCATTCCCTGGTGATGTTCTTCCTTCAGCAAGGTTCCAAGTCTTAAGGATTTAATATCATCCTCAAACAGTACTAGTATCTGGTAACCAACTGGTCATGTACACGAGCCTCTGGGGGACATTTTTTTCTAATCACCACATTATCTAATTGTATTTTACCACTGTGCATTGAAGAAGCTAAATCTAAAGATATTGCCTATGTTGCTGTTACTACCATTAGAGGTGCTGTCCAAAATACCTGTTGGTAGGGAAAAGTCAAAATGAAATCTCACACACATCTTATAAGCAATATCTAGATTCACACCTCTTGCTTGAATAGAGTAAAACATTCCTTGCTGTATCATACTTCCTTCATTGTGGTTCTTATTATGGTAAGGAATGAGTCATTTGTAGTAGCATGTCCTTCAGATCAACAGTGGGCAGTTCAATAAACATGGGACTTAAACAGTGAGTATTCTGATAAATTACTAACCAGGTGGTAATGGGTAATCCACTTCATTTCCATGACACACATCTAAACTAGGAATAGCTATCTACATGCTGCACTTTTGCTGTGGCAAGCTTACCCAAACCAGTACCTAATATTCCTAGTAGTTCTTCAAAATATAACTTAGTACCTGCCTGCTCTTTCACAGCTTTGCATAAAATTCATGAAAAAGACATGATGTTAAGACAGCCAATTCTTATTCCAATCTTATGCTCTTTTTGATATCTTGAAGGAAAACAGTAGCACACTGAAAGTAGTGATTTTCTGGGAAGAGGCAATGGATGGCATACTTTTGGGGGGAGCAAACTTTGTCTCATGTTCTATTTTTTTTTTTTTGGTATTTCGAAACAGGGTTTCTCTGTGGCTTTGGAGGCTGTCCTGGAACTAGCTCTTGTAGACCAGGGTGGTCTCGACCTCATAGAGATCCACCTGCCTCTGCCTCCCGAGTGCTGGGATTAAAGGCATGCGCCACCAACGCCCGGCTGACTTTTGTTTTTTGTGTCTGTGAACTTGTACAATTTAAATGTTTCATATGAGCAGGATCATACAATTTCCTTTATTCACAGCATTTTTTAAGCAACCTAGTGATTATTCATTTTATTTCAACATGTGCCAGATTCCATTTCTTTTTATGACTGAATATTCTTCAATTGTTAATGCATCTATCACACATCAGATATCTACTCTACTAATTAATACTCAACATTCTTTCTACCTTTTTTTCTGCTATGGATATTGTTGCAATGAATATTGGCATGCAGCATTTTATTCGAGTATCTACTTCCAGTAACTTAGTTGAATTCTAAGTAGTAAGTAGAGTGACTGAGTTGAGTGGTATTTCTATTTTAGCCATTTTAGAAAATGCCAAAACCTTCTCCATCACATTGAGCTCCAGCATATATTTTTCCAGTCTTTTAGGTTCTTCACAATATCATCACACTTGTAATTTCTTGATATTTTGTTATACACCTTTCTCATGGTGTGGATGTTATCTCTTTGAGACTTTTATTTGCATGACCCATATATCGAATAATCTCAAGCACCTTTAATATGCCTAATGGCCATTTTCATATTTGTTTTAAATAAACATTTGATTTGGACATTTGCCAGATTGTGAAGTGTATTTTATCTTTTTGTTGAATTATAAATGTTAGATATTACATATAATAGATGATGGACAATAGACATTTATGGCATGTGATTTGCAGATACATTTTTCCTGTTCTGAAACTATCTTTTCACTTTATCAAACACATTCTTTGATATATGGAAATTATAACTTTTAAAAATCTCTAAAATTGTATTAACCATTTTTGTCTTTATTTTTAAGATGATCTGAGTGAATTAACTACCATAGCCTTTTAAATTTATTAATTCTTACTATGCCCTAATTTCTAAATCAGTTTTCTTGTTCCATAGGCTTCCTGGTTGATAGTTTTTTTTTCCAAGCATTTATAATGTGAACTGTGTCATCCAACTGTCTTTTGTTCTCCATGATTCTGATGAAAAACTGGTAGACTCTCTTATCACAAGTTATTTTTCTTTCCAGGATTTAAAAAAAATATCATATAACAATGTGCCTCAAATGTGTGTCTTTTTAGTTGATCTTTCATGAAACTGATTGAGATTTTTGGATCAAACTCTCGGGTATGTTAATGCTAATGTTTGTGTGTATACATGTGTATGTGCATGTGTACCTGTGTGTGTTTATCAAATGTAGGAAGTATTCAGTCTTTATTTTTTCAAATATTCCTTCCTGCTCCTTTTTTTTCCCTCTTCTTCACCTGGGAAACCCACAGTGCTTATGCAGGTAAACCTGATGGCATGTTATATATTCTCCAGGAAATATTAAATTGCTCCCTTATGTTTTTCTTATAGATCAGGCTCAAATATTAATTTTCTTTCCAACTGCTGAATATTTACTTGTTCAAGTCTTAGTTTTGGGTTTTTGTATGACTGTTATTGTCTATCTTAGTGCTTCAGTTGCAACTTGATTATTTTATTTATTTATATTTATTTTGGTTTGTCTTGAGACAGGGTTTCTCTATATTTTTTTGGAGCCTGTCCTGGAACTTTCCCAGTAGATCAAACTGGCCTCAAACTCACAGAGATCTGCCTGCCTCTGCCTCCCATGTGCTGGGATTAAAGGTGTGTGCCACCAATGCCCAGCCACAACTTGATTCTTAATTTCAACTATCTTCTGTCTTCATATTATTCTATACCATTTTGTTTGGTTCCTTTTCTCTATTTGTTGTATTTTCTTGTTTATTTCAGAAAGATCTCACTGTGTAGTCAAGGCTGGCCTCAAATGTGTGGTGATCAGCTTGTCTCAGCTTCATAAGTCCTAAGGTTACAGCCTGGAACACCACAGCCAGCCTTTGCTTCTCTGTTCATGTGTTCTTGGGCTTATTTAACACTATGCTTTTGAAGTCTTGCCTTGTGATGCTGATGTCTAGGCTCTCTCATGAATAGTGCCTGCAAATTAATTTTGTGCTTTTAAAAAACGGTACTTTTCCTATCTTTGTATGCCTTTTCATGATAGGAAAGGAAATAAGCTTCACAAAAGAACACATATCTTATTCCTTTCATATAAATTTCTTTAGAAGAAAACTGGTTACATAAAGCAGATTAGTGGTTATCTAGAATTGGATAAAAATTGTTATAGACACACTTTGGAGGATAATGGAAATTCTTATTTTCTTTCTGGCAATGGTTTTATGATCTATCTGTACATCAATATTGACAAAATTGCATATTTTAAAAATATTCAACTTATTGCACATTGATTATATCTCATCTCATGAAGTTGCAAAAGATAGAATATGTAGGAAAGTCCATCTATAAAAAACATAAGTCTGAATTTAAACCTGCTTACAAAAGTATATTATATCAAAATAATATATGTATGTGCATATATAGGTATATACATATATATGTGTGTAGGCATTCTTATGAAGTATTTGTTCATGTGTATGCATGCATATTTATATGCAGAAATATTCCTGCCTCTCTGAAAAATAAACATCATTACCTCTTATAAAGTTTGGTAATATTGATATATATGGCACTAGTGATGTTCATTTGAAACTGAAATTATTGCAAAAGGTGAGTAAGATTGAGTAAGATTGAGATTAAAGTTTCTCTGGCTATTTAAAGTGAAACTTTTATTTAAGGAGACTTTATCTATAAAGAATAGAGGGCATGGCAGTGATGTTAAGTGTGCATGCTGCACCAGGCTCAGTATAATTAGATCTTGACTGTATTTATATTGTGGAACAATTAAAATATAATTTTGTGATTCCTCCTTTTCCCTCATTTCCTCATATTTTCACTTTATTTTCATTTTCTTCTTTTCTTGTGTTGTAAAACAAAGAGGGATCGGAAACTTATAGAGAGCAAACAAATTTTCATTGGCTGTTTAAAGAGCCAGCCTATGTTTATGCTCCTGTTTCTTCTGCTATTTTCTCCTTTAGCCTATAAAATAATGGATGGTACAGTTATACTACTTCCCCCAAAGCAACCTCTGTTGCCAGGTACTGGAAGTGATGTGTGCCTTTGGGGGGTAAAGCAGTATACTAGATCTAGCAGAGGAGGACTTCTTATAATTCTAATTCTTCACAAATTTGTGCGTCATCCTTCCTCAGAAGCCATGCTAATCTTCTTTGTGTCATTCTAATTTAGTATATGTGCTGCAGAAACGAGCACATAATTCCATTTCTTACCATGCACTTCCATTAATTTATTAAAGTTATGTTTAAGCAAATCATGATCACAGTTGATGAGTGTGCAATACAGATGGATTGCTTGTCACTCATGGAACTCAGTAATAGCCTAATGTAGGGAAAGAGGTTCAGGGGATATAAATACATGTAAAATTAAATTAGAGAAAGAGTTGAGGAATGACAATATTTTAAATATAGGGGCCAGAGAAATTCTGTGAAGTGATATTTGATCAGAGACACGAGTGATATCAATGAGTAGAGTAAAGAAGGGTCTGGACAAACACATAGGAAAAGGCCATCATCTTTTCTGACCTGACTGACTTCAAGACTACTGGTCTTGCATTGTGTATTAGTCATCATTCCTTAGAGTAACAGAACTACAGAAATTATAGAATGAATCTCTCATATCTATCTATCTATATCTATCTATCCATCTATCTATCTATCTATATTAGTTTGAAAGAAACAACCTCCAAAAGAGTGTCACTATTAGGAAGTGTGGCTTTTTTGGAGTGTGACCTTGTTAGAGGAAGTGTGTCTGTGTGGGGTTGGGCTTTGAGGATATCTATGCTCGAGCTATGCCCAGTGTCACAGTTCACTTCCTGTTGCCTGGCGGCAAAGATGTAAAACTTTCAACTCCTTCTCCAGCATCATGTCAGCCTGCATGCTGCCATGTCCCACCATGATGAGAATGAACTAAACTTCTGAAACTATAAGCCACCCCAATTAATTGTTTTCCTTTACAGGAGTTGCTGTATCATTGTTTCTCTTTACAGTAATTAAAATTATAACTAAGACAACACACACATAAACACATACATACATATGTACATACATATACATACATGCATACTTATATTCATGTATAAAGGGGATTTATTGGAAAGATTTACAGGCTATGGTCCAACAATTGCTGGCTATGAGTGCAAAATCCAAGAATCTAAAAAAGTTGCTCAGTCCATGAAGCTGGTTTTCAGTAGATGCTGGAATTCCTAAGAAATAGGATCTAATACCAGTCAAGGAATGGACTTGCCAGCAAGGCAAGAGCAATCAGGAAAAGAATAAAAGCTTCCTTATATAGGCTCCCAGTAGATGGTGAAGCACAGATTAATGGTGTGTTTCACTGCCTCATCACCCAGATTAAAGGTGTGTTTTTATTCTTAGTTCAAAATATCAATATTAAATTTGTGTCTTCCTACCTCAAAGATCCTAAGTAGAAGTAGATCTTCTTACTTCAACTTAACCAGAAACCCCCCACATGTGTGCCCTCCATTTTGAGGTTTTAGTTAATTCCATATATAGTCAAGTCAATAGCAATCACATATTGCACAGCCAATATACCAGGCTGGCTGTGTTAGAACACAAAGAAGGGGCAGTTTCTGAAGTTGAGTTGTGTTAGGTGTGGTCATGCACATTGACATAGTTCCTGATACAGAATAAAGTCTTAGGACTGAGGTAAGCATATCAAAGATGATGGGATTCATCATTTTTCCTATTCTTTGAAAAATTTCATACAAATATACAATGTATCTTTTTCATATTAACCCCCAATCCTTCCACTTCAACTCTTTCTGCTCCCCAAAACTTTTCTTTCTAAGCTTCAAACCCTTTAAAAAATATACTTGTAAATCCCTGGGTCCAGTTAATGCTGCCTATGGAAGCATGCATGTGGAGTTATCCAATGGGGAATGGGTAGGCTACGAATGGAACCCACCATGTGAAACATAACTTTTGTTCCATAGCAGTTATCAAATATCAATTGCTCCTCAGCCAGGGTTAGGGCCTTGCGAACTCCTTCTCCTTCTATCTTAGAGTTTTTAACTGGCTTGATGTTGTATAGGTTCTACGAAGAGAATCGCCTGTACTATGCATCTGTCTATAGTCCAGCATTTTACAACAACCCCTTCCATTGGTGCTTACATTCTTCCTTTGCTCCCTTACTTGACCTTTGCTGAGCATAGGTGTTGATGTCAATGTCCCATGTACAGTTGAAAACTCATAGTTACTTATTCTTAGTACTTTGACCAGTTATGATCCTCTGCATCAACTATTACCCACTTCAATAAGAAGCATCTATGATTTTGACTTCTGGAGTGAACATTATCATTTGAGATTATATTTTCTTTTTTAATGCTAAAAGTTATGACCATCTTTTCTTAAATGATTTATTTCCTAAAAATCCTACTCTATCAAAGACACAGAATTATATATCCATTCATTCACACAGATAACTGTCATCTATTTGTCCCTCTATACCCATATGTATCCATTCATCCAGCTGTGAATCAGAGAGAGTGGTAGCAAAAGAGCAAGAACAGTTCAAATTTAGATGTAAACACTGAGAAGGCAGTTTGCCAGTGTGACCAAGAATAAAACAACATTAATAGTGGTTCTATGACTCCCATAGCCATCTTGGTCCTTACTTGACACTTAACACTATATTAAAATAGATGCGGGACAAAAATCTGCCTTCTTGGGAAGTAAGTCTAAGAGACAATCTTGAGGAAGCCAGTTTGAACACATTGCAGCTACAGTTGTGTGAGAGCCAAAGACCAACCCAGAAACATGGCACAAACTCGCCTATGAGTATAGAATATTGACTCCAACAGTGTGAAAGATATTATTACCATTCAGAAGGTTATTATGTTATTATCTGTGAAGCCACTGTTCAGTGTATTTCCTCATTAATTGCTTTATTTTGCAAATAGTATATTCCTGCACTAAGGAGCTTTTGTGTCACCTCAAGAAAAATATTTCCTTTGAATATTATTCAAGAATTCATAAATCATATTAAATAAACTAAAATGAACATCTCTAGTTTAGAGGAACTACACAGGATTTTTAAATGAAAACTGTGTATGTTTGATTTACTTCTTTTAATTAAACAGAAAACTCTCATGCTTCATATCACTAAAGGAGCAACACAGATTGTGTTGCCTTTTAAATGGCTTTGTCAGCTTGGGCTGCTCTTACACATTACTGAAAGGCACAGTGGTTAAAAAATAGACATATATTTATCAGATTTATTGAGGTTGGAAATCTGAGATCAGGATATCAGCATAGTCAGGTTATTGGGGAAAACCATTATCTGGGTTCAGATTGCTAACTTCTCACTGTTTCTTCACCTGACAAAAAGGCCTCTGTGGTTTTCTCTCCTTCTCAGGAAAACTCCTGCCCTCATGAGGATCCACCCCCAGGATCCGATGTAAGCCTATTACAAAGGCCATGCCTCGAAATACCTTCTCACTGGGACTTAGACAGTTTGAATCTTTAACCATGCCCTCCACCCAGCAGCCTGAGTAATGCCTTTCTAAAGATAAATCATTTTAACAAGTTCTTACACATGGGGAAGGATATTCACATTGTCTCATTTAGTGTAATTTGCTGAATTCAGACAAATGAATTTCTTGTCATTCTCTCAAATCTGAATCACTTTGTTCATGGCTTAAGTGGCATATGTGAACATTAGGCCTCTTTAAAAAAGACAGAGGATAATAAATGCTTCCAGAATTTGTTTTGCTGAAATGAACTAATGTTAGAGGACCATATGGTAAACTATATTTTTAATTACTTCTCAACAATGCTAAATATTTTTTCCTTATTTTCATATTTAATGTTCTTGATCACATTTGCCAAAAGTTTTCTTCAAGAGAACATAGCATTTTACATAGCAACACATGAATAACTTTATAGTCAATATACATTATTGTGTATAAATAGCATGTTTGTTCTAAGTACTGTAAAGCCTTACTTATGACTCTTTGCACCTTCAAAGACTTTCCTTTGTTACCTAAGTTAAAATAGCCACTTTGTAAATTTCCCATCTTAGTGAGGGTTTTTGTTTTGCCCTTCTGTTTTTCTAGATCTTTATATTTTAAAATAAAATTTTTGAGATTATAATATAATTACCTCACTTCTTCCTTCTCATTCAGCCCTCAAACCCTTCCATGAGCCTTTTTCTTTGTTCTCTCTTTCAAATTCATGGACTCTTTTTTTTGAATTTTGTCAACACACACACACACACACACACACACACACACACACACACAC